TTTGTGCAATGCTATGCACCCTCAAAATATTATTGCCACTTAGTAAGATTTCTTATCCTTTCCCCATACATCTCATATATCATATATCCTATATTTTAGTAGAACTGGCCTTTTAGAAAAGACTTTAATTAAAGTCACAACATCTTCAAGAATAAACCCCTTTTCTTCAAGAAAGTATGGTACAATAAGAACTTCCCCTTCCATGGAAAGGAGAATTAGGATCCCAAAGAAAATTGTTAGTAATTATTTCACCTTTGCTGGTTATCCATAAGTATTGCAGAACATCAATGTACTAAATACAAAAATCATAAAGAAAAAAATGTGCAATATTTTCTACTCTATCCTACGAAGGTAAAATGTCTAATTTTATATCAGTCACTTTTACGTGCTTTAAAATATGCAAACATCCGTTATTATTATATTTAGGAACTAGAGAGTCTGGAAACAGAGTAAGGTATCTCCAGAGATGTCTTCGACAGCTATCATCTTTATATAGAGGGATGGTTTACAAAATACTTGCTACTTCAGTTTGAAACAGCTATTCACGAAGTTTAGAATGCAGAAAGAAAAGACTCCAAATAAAAACCATGGTGCTCAACAGGATTGTACCCTGTCCACTACAGGATAAACAGCAGAACTATAATACACTACTGATATGAGTGCTAACTTCTCTGAGGAGGACAAAATTCCTGGATTATTTTATTTTTACTAAGTTGCTGAGCTTCTATTTTTTAAGCCTTGACAATGGACAAGATGGCTACTCTATACTTTGCCCCTGATACCACACTCCTCTTTATAAAGTACATATCACATGGAACTAAAGCTCTTTGCCTCAGAACACAGAAAGGCAGTGGAGAAGTGGTTGGTAAAAGTATCGGCATAGCCTGAAAGTAATAACCATACAGGCCTTGTGAATGGTCTGAACAGTATCTTGCCAACATGGGGAAGACATGTGGGCAAGGGTTGCTTTCCAACATCAGCTCTGACTTCTATATTCCTCACTTGAGACAAGGGCTTAATCAGGAAGATAAACAGTGCTATGCCACTGGCCTTAAGTCATGCACATTCAGCCTAGGGTTTGTGGATGCCTGTGAGCCAAAAACTACTCTAATACAACGGCAATAGGTAGTTAAGAATGATTTTACAAACAACATAAATTGGCCATAAAGGAAACTCTACTTCTGATGGTAAAAATATTTAGTCAAGAGAGTTTCAGCATCGTCAATCATGAACAGTTGTTATATGATCCTTGAGCAATTCACATTAACTTTTATCTAGCAAAATTATCCCTCTTCTAGAGACAGACCTGAACCAACAAGACACTAAGTGAGTCAGGTAAGACATCTCCAAGGGTACAGAGAACCAAATACAGACTTGCCAAATACAAATTAACCTCACAACTGCTCTAGCTCCTCAAGTGAACACACTACAGCTGGTGTGCTAAGCTGAATTCTGCCATAATGGTTGAGGATCTAGAGAGACAAAGTTCAAACTTTGTAGGCACAAGAGTAATGACAAATTCCCCAACGACAGATCAGGGCAGAAACTCTGAGTTGGCCTCTAGCCAATTCTGTTAAAATCCCCTCTTTCCTTTTCTTTCTTTTGTCAGTGAGTAGTTACCTATTTGTAATTTGATGCCTACTGAAAAGAAAAAGAAACATGTATGCATCCTTCCACAATCTTTAAAGAAAACTCAGAAGAGAATGATACGTAACAGTGCGAAGAAATCAGTGGGTCAGTAATTGCCTGTGCACTGAATAGTTTCCCAAGAACATTGTACCTCTTCCAGCAGCCTATTTTATTTCTTTCTTGTCTATAGGCCTTCACTGTTTTGCTAGAGTTGATACCCATATATTATATTTCAGGGAATGACAATAAATATCACATATCTCTGCCTCTACTGCTGCCCACTAGGTACTCTATCAAGACTTACCATAACACTCCAAGGGAGGAAAAAAAAAAAGTCAGCCTGCTATGTAAATATTTTCCCTTCAACTCAAACTCCCACCTGGAAACAGATTTCCTTTTAATTTTGATTGGCCTAAATATCAGGCAATCTCACATCAGTGACAGATTTCTGCATATAAAACTGTCAGTGTTCAAAGTGCTAACCTGCAGCTTTACAAGAGTGCAGTTTCATAGGGAAGTGGATATTTACAATCTTCTGAAAGATCCAGAAGTCACTTTTAGTCTAAGAGGTGTTATGTGTTAAACCATGGAGAATTGAAGACAGAGGAGGTGTGAGTCACAGGCTGATTTCAGACAGTAGTTTTCCAGCATTTCTTGCTTTCTGCTTGAAGAGCTCATCTGGGCTGCTGCACTGTGACAGGACATTGCTGCTCGGGTAGAGAACTTTGTTCTAAAAAGACATTACATAGATACTCACATCCCCAAGAGCCATGTCACCGAAGAACATGGAAACAAGGAATAGATAGACTAGGCTGCCAGACCTGAAATGGCTACAGTGGAGCTGGATTGGGAACGTAAGGGTGAGCTAATTATAGCTCAGTGGGCCCATGACACATCAGAACACCTACGAAGCAACGCAATACAAGGATGGGCTCGTGATCGAGGGGTGGGCCTGACCACTGAAGCCACTGAACAGGTTATCTGTGAATATGAAATATGTGCCATGAATTAAGCAACTCAAGTGTGTAAAGCCTCTCTGCTGCGGAGAACAGAGGCTGGGAAGGACAGTGTGAGTTGCTGCTTCCTCAGGAAAAGTCAAACCTGGAGTTGCTTTTGTTCAAGGACCAGGTTGCAGTTGGTGGATAATGCAGGAGGATGGGAAAACCTAGTGTGTACCTCAGTGAGATCTGACGCTGGGGGAAAACAAGCCATGATTTGAGTCAGATGTTCAAATGGGTGACACAAATACTTTTTGGATACTTACTGAAACCACTAAAGACAAACCTCCTCTATCCTGCAGTTATGTTCTGAAAAGTGATTATTTCAAATGGCAATGTCAGACAAAATCTATTCAAAGATAAAACCCTTGTGCACATTGCTGAGGTTTTCTACAAAACAGAAAATGGGTAGAAAAAAATCCAAAAAAACTATTAATACTAATACTAACACAGAAAAAACAGTATAGCTATGAACATGACACTGAGTCAGGGCTCATACACCATGTGCTTGTAAATGTCTATTAAAATAACATGAACAAAATAAAAAGTGTACCTATTTTGCTTTGCACTGTCTAGCACCCATGCATTTAGAGGAACAGCAATAGACCCAACCAGTTTGTAGCTGAAGTAAATCTGAATCGTCAATGACAACGTATAAAACAGAATAAGCACACAGACAGTTTTCTAGTGAGATTATAGAACAGCCAGGAAGAAAAACAGACAGAGTTCGTTAATAAAGAAAACTGGATTAAAAATTGCCTGGACACAAATCAGGAATGTTAAGGTACAAATTTCACTACCTCAACTAACAGAAAATGCAGTGGGTATTTTTTCAGTTAAAGTTACTTAATAGAGATTATGTTTTAGTTATTTATGTCAAAACAAACACATAAAAACACTCACTGTGGAATGACAAAGAGACAGTATGTGCAATGTCTGATGACTTTATCTAATTGTGATATTTTACCCTCCTTTCCAGCATTGACCTCCTTTGTCTCCTGCGTGTTTTGCCTCCACACTTACTAAGAACTAAGAACTTCATCAACATTACCTAAGAACTTCATCAACTAATGCAGCAGGCTAACTGATAAATGTTGGAGATCCTGTGCATACTTCTTTCATCCTAGAAAATATAGTTTCCTTCAAAGCATGTTTGCTCTTTAAAGATGTTTATGCAGACAGTGAAGTCTAGTAATAGGATTAACTCTGCTCAACCAAACTGGCTATCAGCTCAGCAGACAGATTAATGAGATCATCTCACATGTTGCATGACATCTTCTGCCTTTCTAATTCCAAACAGCAAATTCTAAGACCAGGTTAAAACACAATATTAAGACAAGCTGAAATGGTAAGAAAAAACAGCTTAAAATGTTGTATTTCCCAGGCAAACTAAAATCACATAAAGCAATGTAAATGCTGTTATTTGTGAGGGGCTGCCTCATAAGTGAGGGCCAAAATCCCTTCCACATCCCAGATACATCCCTTTGACTGACAGATCTTACCTGGAAGTAAGAAAATATATATGAGTTATACTGCTGAGGTAAACAAGTAAGGCCAATACAAAGCATATGGGAAGGATGTTAAATACCTCACTTCGAGAAGCCAGTTAGCTGCTGCATCATACTCAATCTGTTTGTTGCAGAGGATACTTAATCACTTCCTATGTGCTTCCTACATTAAATTAACAATTGCACGGCAGTCAACAAGATCTCATCAGATCTGAACAATACATCAGCCAGAAGCAGCTTTGTTACAGCACTGTCGAATGTGGCAGGAACTAAGTTAGAAACAGTTTGAATGTACATATCAAAGGTTCCTGCTTCAGTTTGCACTGGTGGATGTAGAAGCTTACACAAAAAAAAAGAGTCCATCCATAAATCGGTTGTCAGATTCACTATTCATTTATCCTAGAGACTGATTGCATAAAGACACTCTAAGCATAAATGAAATTTACACTATGACAGCAGCAGAGAAGGAGCTTAATTACAGTGACAATATAACTCAATCTAGACAATGTTCTCATTCACTGTGCCAAAGATTTCCTTCTGAATTTTTGTGCTTTGACTAGACCTAAGTAGGAAGAAAATCACAAGTCCCCAAGTTACAGCAATCTCACAAGGAACTTTAGCATCAACAGGTTGTATGTGAAGCATGTGACATTGCCAATTTTTACATTTGTAGAGGGAACCCCCTAGACAACCTTAGGATTTACAGATGAATGACTTGAATTTTCCCAGTATGATCATTACCTGGTCCTACTACCCCATTAATTCTGATACTATTAGAGAAAGCATAACAGCAAGTCCCAGATTTTTAAATGGCCAGCTGTGATATATTCATACATCATCTGTTGGAACCATGACAGCTACTTACTCCACAGTACCGATCATCGCTGAATATCTGTGGTGGCAGTGGATTGCCCTGTGCAGGCTGCCTATCCTCAGGAATGTTTTTATACATCCATTGTCTTTTCTCCTCTGACATGGTGATATCCACTTCTTCAAACTCTATGCGATTGGCTTCCAGAAACCTCACCACATCCTGTTGCCTCTTCTTTATCTAGATAAAAGAAAGAAAAAAACAACAGTCATAGCGAGTCCACCATAATACAGACATGTAATACAGACCATGTAAGGGTCTCATCAGAAGTAGAAGTTAAAAGAGGTATTTAGTTTTCAATGTCATTAGGGGCTACATTTTTAAAGTATACAGGCACCTAGAAATGCAAGATAAACAACCTTGCAAGTCCCAGAAGAATTTACTCCTATAAGTGTTCATTGAGAGAAACGTGTCATTACATCTGAAAAAACCCCCAACCCAGGTACACACATTTTTGTTTTCCTAGGCATCTACACATATTTTAAAATGCAGCTCTACATTCTCCTGAGCAAAGCTTGCTGAATCTTTAATTAAGAGTGTCTGTCTGCATAATATATATGCCTTCAAGCAAGCATGACATCATCTCTTGAGAATTAACTTTTTTGCAAAAAACAAAAATAGCATGAGGTTCGTACTGAATGTATGGGGGTTTGGCCCCTCAAACAGATTATCATCTTTATACAAAAGCCTAACAGAGGCAGAACACTGGCAGTTTTTAGGTCATTGTAGCTAAGATTGGCTGACTCCATGATCTTAGAGGTCATTTCCAACCTTAATGATCCTATGACTCTAAGATCAGCCCTTAATGGCTAGTTGGGCTTCAAGCAGATACACTCGGGTAAAGACTACTTCTGCCTCCAATAGGACTTTATATTGAGACAACAACCTTTGAAAATAAAGTCTATATGGCCAAGGAAAGCCACCTGGTATCTTTCAGCTAGGTCTGCTCTGCATTCTTTTCAGTCCATTCTGTACTTGTTGCATCTGCGTAATAAAATTAATTATTTCAGAAAGGAACTATAAATTAGATGCTGTAGTGTTATTTGAAAAAAAAAATCATCTTTAAGAATTTTACAGCTTTCCCAGAGTGTTGGATCCATGCAGTTTCTGGCTGGCATAAAGCCCAGGTGGATGAATCATGCCTCTGGGTATCATATGACCTAGATACTATTTGGAAATTAGAGGATTTTTAAAGTGCATGTGCTAGCTGTTCTTGTCACACAACCCAGTCTGCCTATATAAATGCATCACAAAAATTACTAACTTTTGAAGGAAATACTGATGGAATCATTATTTCCTTGAAACAAGAGGGCAGGCATCCCAAGAAACTGCAAAAACAGTGCTCTTAAACAATTACCGTATTTCTTAAGAAGTGAAATTTACTGCATAGTAAATTTGTGTCTCATTGTCATACCCTTTTTCCTTTCTTTGCATATACTAGTGGGGTTTCTTAGGCATATGTGAAAGGATTGCTTTTTCATACAAGAAGGTAGCTCCTAAAATTGCATGAACTAATACATTATCAACAACAGCAAAATTATCACATCATCATCACTGCTGTTACCCAAGACAACACACCTTTTACTATGGTCCTAAAAATTCCAAACGTAAAAGTGAAAGACCAACATATTTTCCTGTCTTTCAGTAAAAAAAAAATCTAAAATTATGTGTGAGAGAGGTCATTTCCTTACAGTGGAGTACTGCTAAAACTAACATGAAATTCCTCCTGCACTAGTCAGAGGAACTAGCAAAATACGTAGTGGCTGGTCCAGCCCTGTCGCCCCAAAGCCAGTTTGCCTCATCTGGCCAAGCCTGTTAAATCTGCAGCCTCTCAAGAGTGGCTGCATACAAACTGTACACTGGGAATGATCCCCGGCGTGCTGTAACAACTAAATCATGGCCATGAGCTGTTTGTGAGACTCCAAGTTGGCCTTGGCCAAAGCTGCCTGCGCCAGCAACCATTCTTCAAACCATTTCAGAGTGCTAGAGAGCTCCATTTCTCAGGGCCAGGTCATGCACCAGTACAGATGTACCCACATGTACCCATTTTCATCTGCTGTACCTTCCAGTACAGTATCTTCCAGTACCCTGTACACTGAGCAGCAGTTTAACTGCAACTTAGATTTAATCAGATCCCTATTATTTTACAGTTCACACCATGAAAATTCTCCCACAAACACATATTTCCTAATCTCTCCTTTTATTTTAATAAAACTAATTAAGATGTTGAAGTGAAATAGATTGGATTGGGGTTTTTTTAGCCATAAGCCTTACAATTTCTCCACATGACATCTGTACGAGTTATCAGCTGTGGATGTACCAGCTGCATAAATTTAAACAAAATAGCCTGAAAATTTTAAGCCAAAAAAGTAGCATTTCCTCCTCCCCCAAGTGATTTGATTCAAGCCTATAAACTAAAACAAGAGCATTAGTTACATTTAAAATCCTATTAAATTATGCCTTGTTGTGTAAGACGGATGCTCAGAGCATCTGCCACAACAGAAGCCAGCTGATTATTCCCCAAGAAAACCACAGGACCTTTGTGTCCCTCTACAACTGGATCTGTGCCGCAGGAGTGCGTCAGCCTCACAATCCTGCTGCAGCTCTCATCTGTGCTTACTCTGAGCTCTAAAAGCTCCCAGCATTCAGCCACATGAAACATTGAGCAAAGACAACACGGCACAGAGAGCAGTGTCAGTTCTTCCTTCCTCACTGGCCTATGCGGAGGATCCGAACTCCTGTCAAGAGCCCAGTGGAGAAATACACATTCTCATTTGACAAACTATGGAGGTGGATAGTCCTCTTTGTAAAACTTTACTTCGTACCTTGATGCTTCCAAGGTTTCCAGAGTCTGACGCAACTGAAAGGAACCTGAAAAGAGTATTCATGTTGTCAGAGGTACCATGTTTAGAAAAGCTTGGTTGGAGGCTATTCATACACCTCTTTGGGAAAGCATTCGTAGTCTTACAGGACAGACTGCTTCAGCAACAAAATATTTTGGGTTTAATACCTTTCAGCACACCAGAAGACACTGAGATACACCATCAAAACATATATCCACTGTGAAGTTTCAGAGGAAAATCTTTACATAATATGTTCCTAATCTATCTTTAAATGTGATGAGAAAACTCTGATAGAGCTAATGGTCTCCTATTATAATTCAATTATTGTCTCCCCTATTTTTAGAAGGGTGATTGTTTTCTGAACATCATTTCTCTGGGTTTGGTTTTACTGTTAATCTATATTTCTACTCAAAAAACTAAGACAGAAAAAAATCCCCAGAGACATTTCAATTTTATCCTGATATTCAGAGCTGATGTCTTTATTAGAATTAAAAAGCAGCCAAAATAGGATGTCCATTGTGACATATGAAACTGCTAAAATGAGCTAATCACTCAGCCCAATTTAACCAGTAGCCTAATTTATGAAGCAAGTCTATTGTAGCCTCAGTATTCTGTCTTTCTGCCCTAGTTTTCATTTTTTTTATACTGATTTGCAACAGGTAACAGGAGGATAGCCAGACTTTCAGACTGCTTTGGAAAAAGACATATTCAGGTCTGGCCAGGTGGGACCACTGGGATTATCTGTTCTGACCTTCAGCATCCCTGAATTAATTCCTCTCGGGAGTTGAGTTTCTTCAAATTTTTTTCCTTCTAAGCTCCATTCCTGAACTGATAATAACAGAGAACCTGCTAGTCTTTGCAAATTGTTCCCATAGTTAATTAACTGTTTTCACTTAAAAAATATCTGCTTGCTTCTGTTCAGAGTTTACCTGACTTCCAGCTTTCAGACACTTTACTTTTCATGTCTTTGGTCACACTAAAAACTATTCTGTTCTAGGATTTCCATTTCCCACACAAGTAATATGAGAGTATGTTCTCCAGTAACAAGAGAAATCCCATTGCTCATTTAACAGCAGAATGAGAAAATGAGGATGTTACCATCATAAATCATGTCCAGACTGGAGCAGAGGTTTAGCAAAATCAGATCACATCCTCTATGCAAAATTCCTTGGAAGCTTCTCATCACTTCCAACAGGTGAGAGTTTCCTTCTTTTTTTTTCCCCTCTCTATGGTTCCTGAATCTGTTTTCAGAAGTTCTTCTGTACTAGAAAGGCTTGCCTACTGACAGCTGCTGAACCAGAGGAGCATAGCATGTGGTCTCTTTATTACTGAATGGCAGGAGCATTTCATTATTCTGTACTATTTTAACCAAGATATTCAATACCATGCAAAAAACTCACTAGTCCAGGACTTATCTAACTCAAATAGGATAAATGAATATTACTTCTACTATGCTATATGCAAGATGACTCAAGTAGCAATATTAATAGGAACTGTTAAATAGCCATGATTAAAGACAACTTCTCCACCTTATTTCATTAGCCCGGTCAATATAAATGGTACAAAGCAGACACATTCTCAGTTTCAAATTTCTTCACACTGTCAGTAGGCATGTTGCTGGGTGTCTGGTGCTCTCAAAGTAGATGCAGAAGGTTAGTCTTCTGCTCTAGACTCTAGCTCTCATCTTCCGGAGATAAGGGGTTCCCTGGGTTTCTGTCCTCCTGCCTGCAAGTGAAGGAAATGACAGCAGGCACCACTCTGTGCACTGGTTGGTGACTAAGATGTGTTGCACTGCCTGTCCTACAGCCTCTTCATCCTGGAACTGAAGGAACTGAAAGCCTAATCTGAACTGTCCACTCATTCCAAACAGATCCCAAGAACAAAATCCCACCCAAAAAAAATATTCAGACCACACATGCGGAGTGAGAACAAAACTCTGTGATGGTTATCTTCTAAGCTGGCTTGTCAGACCACAGGCATGTTTTAGAAGTCCTCCATTTAAAAAACGAAAAGTGAATGCACATCTAAGTTCACCTCAAATATTTGCTTCACAGCCTGGCATACACCTATTTAGATCTGTGCCTCTAAAGATGGAGATGGTCCCACTGATTTGCTTCCTTCCCTTTCAGTCTGGTTACGCTTTTCTCACACCTGCCCTTACTCCAGAACTGCATCAGCCACATTATCCACCCACTGACTCAGCCAAAATCTGAATGTACTCCATTTGGCCGGGGCACCTTTATAGCACAGTTTGATAATACAGCTCAGCAGATCTCACTGCTGGCTGTCACTGAGGTGACACAATGTTCTTCCCTCCTGCCAAGGAGCTCCTGCAGC